ATATCACCCTTCAGCTCCAGGATGTGATTCTTTTCAGACCCAAAATTTAGGAGCAGCAGACAAGATGTTGGCTGCCTCTATAAAAAAGATGTGGAGACTCTAGTCTAGAAAGAGTGCAGAGAAGAGCAACCAAGAGGATTAGGGGACTGGAAGCTCAAACATATGAAGAACAGTTGTAGGAACTGGGTATGTCTGGTTGAATGAAAAGAAGGACTTAAGGGTGATATGGTAGCAGGCTTCCAATATCAATATCTACATTACAATTGATAACAGTAGCAAAAGTACAGTTATAGAGTAGCAACAAAAATTTTTTATGGTTGAGTGTCACCACCACATGAGGAACTGTAGGAAAAGGTTGCGGCATTAGGAAAGTTGAGAACCACTGGTTTAAAGTGTGTACGTATGTTGTGTTGGCAGAAGCTAACTCAGAAGCTACATTAAGCTTGTCCACCCCAAGGGAAAAAAACATTTATTTTCTTTTTGCATTGCTACAATATATACACGTGTTGAGAAATTGGAGAGCAGGAATGAGAGATCAGAAAACCTGTGACACAAAAGTATAATTTCTGCTGTCTTCATCACTCTGCAACTTCTTTTCCCAGTACCATTCACTTGCTTTCTACACACTGCTAACACAGTCCTCAACTTATAACCATAGTTGAGGCCAGAATTATGCTCATAAATTGTGCTGGTTGTTAAGTGTGTCATCATATCATCAATCCAATTTTATGATATCTTTATGCAGCAAATGTTATGCAAATGCAGCGATCGTAAAGTAAAGCCACAGTTATTAAGAAAATACTGTGGTCATTAAGCAGCCCCATTGTTCACAATGGACATTTTTGCTAGAAATGGGAACACTGTAAATTGCAGCCATGTGACCACAAGACACTGCAATAAATGCAGGCCAGCTGACAAACGTCCAAAATGCAATCCCATAACCATGGGGGTGGATGTCAGAATTCAAATCCAGTTTTTGGTGGGTCCATCAAAACTTTGAACAGTTGCTAAATGACATTCATTTATTCATTAGTCGCAATCTTGAGAGATCAGTTGTTAAGCAAGGAGTACCTGAAGACTTTCTGACACATAATGGTAGTCACTTGCAGGGAGAGAGAAAAAAATCAGACAAACCAAAAAGTAGGTTGACTTACATTTTCTGCTTTGAGAGGTGCAGGGGCTTTGCTGTAATAAGTCAAAAATCGAGCCACTTCTTCTCGCACACTGAAGAAGATACAAAAGCAATTAGAGTTTTCCAAGTGATATCTTCATTCCTCTCTAGGCTGTATCATGGAAACGGAGATTTAGACTTTTTGACAAAAGAGGGTGAAGATTTATAACCAAGGCTACTTACAACATATGGCCCTTCCAATCAGGGTATTGCAGCAGGGAAGGATCTGTGAGGTTCACAGCACTTTGGGCCAGCTATCAGCAATGAGAAGGAGAGACCAAAATTATTAAGCACATTGCCAGGAAATGGTCTGGAAATTAGCAAGTAAAAGCTATGAAGATTGATAATGTCCTTCTTTACTAGGAAGGTATCTTGCACACATTGAGGTTGGGGTGGGTGTGCATATTGTGATTCCTTTCTTTTTGGTTTGGTTGTATGAACTCAAACAAGAGTTGTTTGTTTAAGAAGCTACAAGTGTACAACCCATGACTTTGAATAGTATGAAATAGGTTTATGTTTTTATTGAGTGATATAGATCTCTATTATTGAGTAATTGTCACAAATATGTATAAAATGCATACATATACTGTACTTAAAGTGCATTGCCACCAATTTAAAAGAAAGCAGTGGCTTTGCTTCCTATCACAACATACCAGGTTTTGTCTACTGCTCCCGTCTCCTCTTATTCCATAAAGACCTGGGATGGTGAAAAAGGGACTAAAAGAACGTATCCATTTAGCATGAAACCATTTGTCTGAGGTTCATGGATGAAAACTAGATTAGTATTGTAATTCGTGTATTAGTGAACCAACAAGTCTCCCTAAATAGGTTTCTCAAAGGCCCACAATCCATGATGAAGGAAGAAGCATGCGGTTATTCAGGAAGAGAACAAAGTCAAAAAGTACTAATATAAACAGGTAATAAACTAGAAAAACAATATAAGCCTTATGTGACTCATCTGGGAAATTATTTTTTTTGTGAAATCATCATAAAATGACATTACCTAGTGATCACTATTACTTAAGAATGATGGGCATTTACAATATTCTTACCTTTTTGGACATTAGATCAAAGCAGAGTTTGTTCTCACTGATAGCCCAATCAATGATGCCCTGGGAATACAGATAAACGTTTCATTAAAAACAAGAATTAGTTGCTATCCTATTAGCTACCACAAAAATTATGTTCTATAAAACTTTCGCATTTCGAGCCAATAAACATTCCGAAAAGAGGATTGTGATAGAAGATACATACGAGTCAAGAGGTTTATATTTCATTCATGTAGGTTTTGTGTATGTGGAAGACTTGTAAAGATATGATATTGTTGTCATTGCGGAAACTTGGTGGGATGAAACTCACAAATGGAACATACAGCTAGAGGGATTTAAATTATTTAAAAGAAATAGACCAAATAAAAGAGGAGGTGGAATTGCACTATATATAAGAAATAACTACATCTCTACAGAAATAGAGCACAACTGTCTTGAATGCACTTGGGTCAATATAAAGATGGCTAGTTTAATGAAAAGAAGGGGCTGCCACAAAGAAGAGGGAGTCAAACTATTCTCCAAAGGACCTGAGGGCAGAACAAGAAGCAATGGGTGGAAACTAATCAAGGAGAGAAGCAACTTAGAACTGAGGAGAAATTTCCTGACAGTTAGAACAATTAATCAGTGGAACAACTTGCTTCCAGAAGTTGTGAATGCCCCAACACTGGAAGTCTGAAGTGGTGTAGGGTTTCTTGCCTAGGCAGGATGTTGTAGAAGATCTCCAAGGTTCCTTCCAACTCTGCTATTCTATTCTATTCTATTCTATTCTATTCTATTCTATTCTATAAGATAGGTTTAAGATACAGAAGGATCTTGACAGATTTGAACATTGGGCACTATCTAACAAAATGAAATTCAATGGTGAAAAAAGTAAGATTCTACATTTAGACAAGAAAAAAAAAACAAATGCATAGGTACAGTATATGTCCATGATGGCAAACCTATGGCATTCGTGCCACAGGTGGCATGTGGAGCCATTTGTTGGGGCATGTGAGGCGTTGCCCTATCAGTTCCAGCACGCATGTGCACGCTGGTCAGCTAACTTCGCCCTTCTTTTGAGGCCATTTTTCACCCTCCGGAGGCTTCCCTGAAGGCTCTGGAGGGCAAAAAACAGCCGTTTGGCCAAACCAAAAGTCACCTCCAGTTTGTCCATAGGGGCGTTTTTCGCCCTCCGGAACCTTCAAGAGCCTTTAGGAGGCTTCCCTGAAAGCTCCAGAGGGCGAAAACGGCCTTACAGCCAAACCAGAAGTCATTTCCTGTTTGCCCGTAGGGCTGGTGAAAAAAGTGTGAAAAAAGCAGGGGGAGCACTGGTTGCGCACACATGCACAGAGGGGGAAAGTACATACATGTGTGGCACGCCCTTGCATGACCCCACTGCGCTCCCCCCGCTTTTGGCATGTGAGCCAAAAAAGATTCGGCATCACTGGTATATGTTGTACCTTGCTCAATAGTAGTAACTGTGAGAGGGATCTTGGAGTCCTAATGGACAATAATTTAAATATGAGCCAGCAGGGTGCAGCAGCTGCCAAAAAAGCCAATACATTTCTAGGCTGCATAAACAGAGGGATAGAATAAAGATCACGTGAAGTGTTAATACTACTTCATTATGCCTTGGTAAGGCCACACTTGGAATACTGCACCCAGGTTTGGTCACCATGATGTAAAAAAGTTGAGACTCTAGAAAGAATGCAGAGACGGGGACTGTAGGCTAAAACATATAAAGAATGGTTGTTGGAACTGGATATGTCTAGTTTGATGAAAAGAAGGGCTGGGGTGACATAACAGTGTTCCAATATCTCAGGAGCTGCCACAAAGAAGAGGGAATCAAGCTATTCAAGCACCTGAGGGTAGGACAAGAAGTAGTGGGTGGAAACTAATCAAGGAGAGAAGCAAGTTAGAACTAAGAAGAAATTTCTTGACAGTTAGAACAATTAATCATTGGAAACAACTTGCCTCCAGAAGTTGTAAATGCTCCAACACTGGAAGTTTTTAAGAAGGGATGGGATAACCTTTTGTCTGAAGTTGTGTAGGCAGGGGGTTAGACTAGAAGACCTCCAAGGTCCCTTCCAACTCTGTTATTCTATTCTATTCTATTTCATTTGAAATTTGCCAATATTTATATTTTCCATTGTCTATTCCATACCATTGTTTATGTTTGGGAGCTTAATTTTTCATATAAGACTCAAAAAAACTGCAGTGTAGCATTCTACACAAACACACAGAGAGATACATACCAATTCCTTGGTATTGGCCTCATGGGGGGAGGGGAAGCTTAACTGTGCCTATTTTACAGGTAACGTTTATATGAATAAAATATACTTTATATATTTAATTGCTACTATTTGCTAAGGAAAGATATATTGCTTTATGCTATTTTTTTTGCAAAAGTCTAGTAAATGAGCAACAGTATTTAAAAAACCCTAAAATTAATGGCTAAGAGAGGATTTGAATCCAAACCAAATCAGTTCAACAGTTCAGCTATATTAACACAGTATTAACTGATTGCTATGGGAGAATGAACTAAAAGATTAGCATTCTTGTAATGGGCTTCTCAGCTAAGAAAAATGTAATTAAGTTGATTTTTTTAAAAAAAACCTCACATTTTGAATGAAGTTTGAAATGAAAGTAGCTATTTGAGGTTTATATAATATAAAAAGATCATGCTGATTAGAGCTAGCATAGCTGGTTTTATTGATGAATTGTAGTATTAATGCTGCTACAATTTGAATGCCCTGCTGTTTTAATGTTTATCATGGGAGCAAAGTGTGCTTGTTTTTACAGTAAGCAGCTCTGAAAAGTTCTTTAGGATGGAAGAGTCACATATTAAGCATGTAAAATAAAAATTAATCTGCAGAAAACTCTACTAATGTTGCTTTGGAGAAAAAGCTAAGAGCTACTGTGAAAATCATTATAGAATCTATAATGACCCTAGCTTTTAAATTTGGCAGCAGGATAAAACTCACTATAATCAGTGTTAAGAATGTAATACCAGCAATGAAGGGTGAAATGGAACAAAGAATTCTACACCATCATAAAAATAGGTATTTCTAGCAAATTATTTTGTTTACAGACAGTGCCTGTATGGTCCTACAAATGCTACTATATTAGAATTCTCAACATCCCAGAAAGCATGGGATATTGACAGATACTGGGAGCTATAATTGAGAAATCTCTGGTGCCTCAACTTTCAACTAACTTAAGCTAACAGGTCATAGTCTAGCTTGGTTCTGGATGGGAAAATCTACCTTGAATCCATTGATGGAGATGGAATGGAACATAACCGCTCTTCTTTGATTTAAAATATTTAGCCATCTATGTAAATCCTCTGCACAACAAATTTAGAAACATATGTCAAGTAAAGTATGTATCAGGGCCATTCTGTCTCTTAAAAACAAGACCCAATCCCAATGATTTTGTGTGGTTGGCATTAAAAAATAGAATTAGTCTTAAAAGCTTGTTATATGCCATATTTAGGAGAATTAACTCTAAAATCAAGCCATTTTAAAATAAATAATGCAAGATCTTTTCATCTAATATTCATTTCTGCCTTGTGGGACAAGAAAATTTACATGGAAGTTATAGAGGAAATTATTAAACCATTTCACCCCTAGTGTGGCTCCTGCCTAAAGAAAGTTCATCTTTCTGTTGTTTTTTAAAACCATTTAGTCCAAGATGGTTGTTAACCCAATAAATTAATGTCTTGGTAGGTTTAGAAAATAGCAATTATCTTCTTTTCTGATCTATATAATATACCAAGATAGTTCATCAATGAACAAATGTCCTTCTTTATTTCCTTCTGCATTGGACATATATTCCACAAAACGCTCTCAACATCTCAAATAATAAGTAGTCATTGAAAATCAGGATAAAGAATAACAGAATAACAGAGTTTGAACAGTCTTCTAATCCACCCCCTTGTTCAAGCAGGAGTCCCTATGCTATTCCAGATAAACGGTTGTCCAACCTCTTCTTTAAAACCTCCAGTGATGGAGCTTATTTAGAGACAAGTAACGACAAGACTTTTTACTCACAGTGGGGTTTTTGTCCTCATCATACTTGTCAGCATGGTAGAGCTGGTAAACCTCTTCTGAGAACATCGAAGCAATTGCCATATTGCCTCGGACAGAGAGGTAAGGGCTGTTTTGAAAATCAGCATCATGGTAGGAATGCAACACCTTAGTTCCACTATCCGATCTGGTTTGCTCTAACTGGGGGGCCTTGGCTTCTTCTGACAGCCGTTCTCCTATTTCTGTGGAATTGGAGACTGTTGGGTGAAGGTCTACATTCGGAGCTACTCCAGTTGCACAAGAGCCCTGATTGCCCTGCTTTAAGACGTTTAGCATTTGGGCAAAGACATTGAACATACGGAAGTCATGGTCCTGTTCCAATTCAAAGCGTCGCTGCTCCAGTTGGATTCGGCGCTCCTCCACTTCCACATCTCGCTGGAGGCGACGTTCCTCCATCTGCAGAAAGCGCTCCTCCATTTCCCGCTGGGCAGATAAAGTCTTCAACAGCAGGGCATCCATAGGGTCTTTTAACCGCTGGCCTTTCCTTTTCTTCCTCAAGCGGTGCAAAGTAGAAAAACCAGGCCAAGCCCCTAGACTCTGGATCCGGGATGAAGAAACTGCAGTAGGTTCCCTGAAACCTAAGAGTAAGCAGATTAACGATAAATAAACACAACATATTTTTTGTTCAAAGGTCAAAGCTGCTTGAATGACTATCTGCTGTCCTCTTTTAGTTATCTGACTCCTGACAAACCGAGTAAATGAGTTACTTTATTAAAGAATATTGAGTAATGTACCTTTTTCTTTATATAATAGATAATGTATGACACACAGATACAAGAATGCAGTTGGATCCACAGTGTATATATTATAAAGTATATATTTTACAGTAGCTGGCTTTGCTGAATACACTAAACAATAAATGAGGGGAAGAAATCCCATTTTGGCTTAGGGTATAATGCAAATCTAGCCAGCATCTCATCCAACATTTCTCTTCAGACCAAGGCTATTGTACAGTTCCAGATTAATTCAATAGGCAAACTGGCTACATGCAAAAGTTGAGAGATATCCTAGTCTTACCAAACCTCCAGTCATAATTATAAGTGGTTCCAAGTAAAAGGTTAGGGTCTGATAACAGTTTATTCATAAGGCTTTATTAAAAATAACTCAAGTTAATTCAACTAAATAACTTCCATCATCACATCATCCTATACATTACTTCATTAAAGTTTCTCTTCCAACTTCATTTACATTTTCTGCTGAAATGGGGAACACAGCCCAATATATAGTTATGTCTGAATGTGTTACTCTGGATATACTGCCCAGAAGCACACTGCCCATCATTCCCTCTATACATCTGACTGAATATAAAAAATAGCATATTATATGAGGAAGGGGGGGGGGTTCTAGCTCCTGTGAACATTTTTGATGTCTTGTGTTATATATACCACCCTGTGATATTTCGATATAGTTCAGGTGATAAACATTTTAATAAAGCTAATCAATTAAAAAAAACCTTACCAGTTTGTTTACTGCTAAACAAGCTAATTTGATTGGCTGAATCTGTATTGCCACATATATTTCTATAAAATGTAAGTGCCAGTAACAAAAAAAAAACTTAAAGAAGCACTGAGATTTGTTTGCTTTCTCCATTAAAATTTCTGGTATCGTATTACCATATTTTTGGAGTATAAGATGCACCTTCCCCCTCCCCCCACCTAAAAGAGGGTGAAAATTTGGGTGTGTCTTATACACTGAATGCTGCCCCACCCACCCACTGGCCCCAACCCTTTGGCCTCTGGCTCCCAGCAATTTACCTCTTTGTAGCAAATGGGGGCTTGCGGAAACTTCAATAAACTATAGCAATCCCTGCAGCCTGTAACAGTTGATGATCGGGAGAAATTGAAATGAAACTTGCTGTTTGCTCCAGGTGGCAAATTGCTGAGAGGCAGATTTTTTTTTCTTCTGCTAATCAGGCTGTTTGCTGCAAGGAGGTAAATCAACAACTACAAATGCCTATAGAATGTTCAAATTATTAAACTTATTTTTAAAGACTGCTTTATTATTATTCTAGACCAGTGTTTCTCAACCTTGGCAACTTGAAGATGTCCAGACTTCAACTCCCAGAATTCTGGGAGTTGAAGTCCGGACATCTTCAAGTTGCCAAGGTTGAGAAACACTGTTCTAGACAACTTAACAAATGAA